TTGAGAACATATTAGTGGGCTTTAATCGAAAGACAACTTAGTATGTATGAAGTATGTGACAAATATTGTCATTTCTCTTTAAAATGCATTTAACAAATTAACAAAGCAACTTCCAATCTGACATAGGAAATGAAAAGCCACACCATGAATGTGAAATTAGTTGCCAACTACAACCAACTCAGTGACAGCCACATTCTTCAAAGTAGCAGGTCCTTTGTGCTAAAATCAGGACAGCTGACAGACATGTCATCCATGGCCAAAATAAAAAACATTTTAAGTATCATTAACCCTAATTCCAGCAAGTCGATATGAACTATTGCTGAGCAGTTCAAGATAGCATAGTCAACTCTCAAATGTATAGTGCACAAGAACATCAGGTACAAGTTCAATAACGAAAGCACACTTCATATCAGACAAGACCTAGAACTATGATCTAAACAAAATGCTTGCTGACAAAGTTTAAGTTCTCAAGGAGCTCAACATACTCTGGTGGCTTAAACATGCTTTCCCATTTCTTTCCACCTACATTCAGGAACTAGACAGTGTTTAAGCTCTAAATCAAGGGGAGACCTTATATGTTCCAACTGCTTCATCCTACATAACTCATTTAACTAAGAAGTCGCTTGCCAAAGATTTTCCACAATAATGTCACCCCCAGTTTCCTAATCCAAGGCCTCACCAAGAGTGAGGTCAAGCAATGACCCCACAATGCCAAGAAGTTGCGGCTATAGCATAAGTCATCATCCACATTCTGAAGGAACATGGTATACATAAAAGATGTACCAGTTTATATAGAGTATTGATTTTGTTTTGTTTCTGCTTAATGGCAGATCATTAAGAGTATAAAATTATTTAAGGTTAGGTAAAGGTTTTGAATCAGGGGTAAGGTTTGATGCTATATGTGGATCAGTGATAGTTTTGCATACAGGTTTGTTGGTGAAAGTTTTCTCTTTAATCAGTTATCAGTAATGCTAGTTTCTAATATAACTTATTTTATATTCATTTTCTGATACAAGTTGGTTGTTAGAGCTTGCATTGCTATTTTTATGAATTCTGAAGGGTTCTTTTTCATTTTATTCAATTTTCAAAATATATTAATGCTTTTATAGAGTTTTGTTGGATGATTTTTTTTAGTTTTATATTAAGTTTCATTTCCTTTAAGAAGTTAAGAATATTATTTGCTTGATAATATTCTTTTTGGGTTTGATTCAGATGATAGCAGCTTATGAGTATATGTTAAACTACATGAGATACTTGATCAGGAAGTTTCATGGTTTAGTAGATGTGAATGCATCAGATATGTATGTCCTATTTGGAATCTGGATAAAACTATTCCCCACCCCCCAATCTTATTTTTCTAAAACCTGGGAACCATTCCCCTATATTTTGTTGAATAATGTATAGTTTGTTAGGTTTTGAGCCCCATATTGCTTACAATTTTCTTTTGGTGTTCTTGTATTTTGTTTCTTAAGTCTGTACAGGGCATCCTTATGTTAGTTGTTGTCATGTTGATGGCATCTTTAGCTGCTATTTCATTGCCTGGCATATCAACAGGACTTTGAACCCAGGCTAGGATGACTGATTTTTATAATTTAATTATTTCAGTATAGGTATCTATTATGTCTAAGATGTCAGGATGTTTGAACTCTTGATTTGTGTTATGGAGTAAATAAGACACTTCTGATAACACAAATGAACTAGGCAAGACACCTTAAAGAATTTAAAGTGAGTCAAGAAAGTCCATTAGAGTCAGTTGAGAAAAATTTTTTTAGTGACGTCACGGCTAGTAACCCAAGCAAGACATATTATAACTGCTAGGAGCCGGTTATAACAATTTGCTGGTTTAATCTGTGAGTATCTGTTCATGGTTGACGCTCCTTTTTTTAATTGAGATTTTAGAGTCAGCAATATATACGGCTCGGTATTTGCAATATTTGTGTTTTAATTCAGCAAACTTCTATTTATGATGCTATTTGTGGAGTTTTTCTTGTGCTGAGTTAGTGTTATGTCTATATGAGGTTTGTCAATTGGTAGTGTTAAAGAGAGCTATGATGTTCAGACATTTATTTATGTGAGTGCTACTTTGATTTGGTGACCAAAGGAAGGGATGTTTGATAGTTTGCTGGAGTAGAATTTTGTGCATTGTAGTTTGAAAGTTCTTTCATGTGTTGGATTATTTAGGTTACTTTGAAGTTTTAATGAGTATTGTAGGGCTTATTTTTTTGAACCTTAAGTGTAATGGAGGTTCATTAGCTTCTATGTGAAAGCTGTCTATGGGTGAAGTTCAGAAGGCTCCTTGGTTCTGGATTGATAGTAAATTTTCTATACAAGATTTACAAGTGGAGCTGTATTATAAAGCCATAATCCAATTTGGGTATTATGTGTGATAGATACATTTTCAACATTATTTTGCAGTCAGCTCCCCAGTTCATTATCTGGTGCAATATACAAAATACTGACATTATTTAAACAGGTTATAATATGAACATACTAGTGCTTATTTACATTAAATATCCCCGAAAACATTCAATACTGAATTCATTTAAAAAAATGCAATTATTTAAGAGCAATAGATGTACCGTGATTAAGCTAAATATGATGATAAAAATGGCAGATCACCCAAATGGAAGCTGTTAGTACACAAAATTAACTTTGTAAATAAACACTGTACAAGACAATTGGAATAGACCACTTACATTAATTTTGCAATAATGTTTTAAGTAGAAATTAATTTATTTCCTGCCACAACAAGAGAAATAACTAAAACTAATCTGCACAATATTTACAAAACAATACATTTCCTCACATTTGGATAATGTTCAGATGGTAAATTAAAAAGCCAAGTTTATGATTCATGCCATAGTCTATTTTTTTCTTATAAGTTTCAGTAAACCAATCTACTCTGAAATCTTAAAAAAAAAAAAAAAACTACTGTATTTATCTTGTATGTTTAACTGAAAATTTTCAATAAGAAAATACATCTAAAAATTTAGACCACAAAAAAAAAGTGAGGAAAAAAACAGTTTTTCTATTTGCAAGAAGAGACCTATTACTGTAAGCTTATAGGCAGTAATGCAGCTTTGGAACTAAAGATACACTATGAATAGCATAAACAACTGAAAAAAAAGTATGTATATTTTTCAGATATATGAATATTTTTTAATTTGTAAATAATAAAAAAAGGTTATTTGTCATTTAAATTTAGAATGTTTCATTGGTGATCTCATCTAGATGCATATGAAAGACACCAGTTTCAATTATGATAAAAATTAGTAAGTAAAATTCAATGGCAAATTTAAACATATCAAAAGATTGTAAACAATCCATTTTTCATTGCCTGTAGTCATTTTTGTTGTTTGAACATATGATCACAGATAGAAAGGTGGTCATATAAATTTTTCCCCATTAAATTATAAGGTACTCAAACATTGTAGTGATTCATGTATCTGTTTCTGAATGCCCTACAAAATTCATGAGACATGTGGAGTACCTCTGATGTCTTGTGTCATGTGGCCTGAATTCATTTTAATAAGTATTTCAATTTGGTCATTAACAAACTGCAGGTCTGCTGGAATATGCTGTCTTTCACTTTCAAACCTAGCAAACCACTTACAAACAATACTCTCAGCTATAGTACCAACTCCATAAACAGTACATTGTTTTTGCTGTTTGTAAAACATTTTTTCCTTTCTCATTTTCCTCTATTTTTCACTTTTAATGTACAAAAATTTTAAATTTACAATTCCCAAACACATTCTATGGAAAGACATGTTGAAATGTCACTTTTCAGAATATGTATGTCATAAATTTCAGTGACAAGTGAAACAAAATCATGTGTTCAAATGCCACCTTAGAAACTTTTGTTCCAACCAAATACAATTAGTATTACTATCAATACAACTATTTTATTTCAGAAACTCACCTTCCAATGTAATATACCTGTGTATTTAAATAAGTAATAGCTTCTAACTACAACCAATCTTCGAGTTTTATCAAATGCTACAGAAGCATATTAAATAGGAATGAAATGGCTGTTTTGTAAATTAACACATTTGAAGGAATCAAGAAAGGAGCAAAATTCATAAATATCTTTGTATCTATAATAAAGCAAAACTGGTTGTATTGCTGTGTTATTGCTGGGAGAAACATATTTGTCCCTAATTTTTCTACATGACTCATGAACTGATTTCAAGCAAATTTTCTATTTTCAATATATTAACCCATTTACTACAACTTTTGGAAAAAAAAAAAAAAAAAAAAGTGCATAGCCCTTTTTATTAAAAAAAAAAAAATTCACATAATGCATAATGTATAATCTTCAAAATCTGTTTATACCTTGTTAAGAAGCACAGAAACACATAATTATACTTTATAATTTGAATTATTAAATATAGATTTTGATTCAAGATTCTCATAAAACAAAATTCCTAAATGTGATTGAAGCAAAAATATAACTAAACCATAACAATTACAACAGTCAATGCTATATTTTTATCCAATTAAATTATTTTTCACTAAGTATTTCAAAAATTTGCATTAAAGTGTGAAAAAAAATCTCAAATCATGTCAGACCTTCACTCAAATGCAAGCATCTTCTGCAAAGAAATTTTTAAAACTCATGAAAATAAAGTAACTATTTAATTCTGAAATACAGAACATCATAAAAACTGTCAAAAGTTTGGAAACAGAGATGAATGCTGTTATAAGACAATGACTTCACCAGGATAGATTGTGAGTTAAAGCACAAAGTACTCAATTGATCATAAATTGATCACATATACACACAAATTCTCCCGCATAACAATGAGACAACTATTACTGAAGGTAATTTATGCATAGCAGAGCACCACCTTAATGACCACCAGTACACTGCTTACTGGGTACAACCAGATAGAGGAACTGACCTCACAACTATGTTGCTATTAACATGACTAATCACATTGTACATACAAATAAAGTTTAGTCATCTTCATTAAATTATTTTCTCAAAGTGAACTTACCTTGCTAAAGGGTTGCTGCTAAGGTCAAACACTTGCAAGTTTTTGCAAAATTTGATATTCTCTGGAATTTCACATATTTCTGTAATAAAAATGATAAAAATCACCTGTAATTAAACCACAAAACTAAGGACAGGCAAGCAATTTGTAAATAGGATTTAAAATTTACTAGTCAAACAGTTATTTGATAATTTGTTTCTATCTTCAAGCAAAGATTATATTTAGAAGAGTTTCAGTCAATATTTCTAACATTCATCCTTGAAATACTTCAGGTGAATTTATCTTTTCATGATTTCAATATTTCCTAACTTTTAATACAAAAAATTAACATGTAATGCAATTGAATGGTTTTTAAATGAAATTAAACATTCTTTTAAGCAAAAGCTAACAGGTAAGAATTTTGCATATAATACATTATAGAAATTATCTTTGCTTTTGCTGAGAGTAAAAAGCATTTAAAATACTCAATGACCAAAGATAGGAACAGTCAAAAGATATGATTCATCTAAGTAAATGTAGAATTTCTTTACATTTCCTAAATCAATATTTTTTTGAAGTGCTAAATTTTGGCAATGTACTTATTTTAAAAGCATTTAACTTTGATAATACTGACACACACACACACACACACACAAAAGCTAAATGTAAACTCTGATAACATAGTTTAAGTAACAAAGATATTAAAGTTTTCTTTCATGTTTACTCTCATGAATTCAAGAAGATCACAGAATTGGAGATGACAACATTCAAACAGGGACATCAATCCTAATTCAAGCTTAGACTAAATAGCATGTAATACATTGATCTTCAATGGAGATAAATTGATTACATACAAAATGAAAGTAATTGAACAGTGAACTCCTCAAAATAGAAAGATTAAACATCAGCATCAGAAATGTTTACGGTGCCAAAACATGTCACTTTATGCCTTCAAAAAGAGAGTACAAAAGCTACAGCTTAATATATTAATCAATATTTAACTGAGATAGCTATAAAATTCACTTGTCCATGCTAACTTTGAATGTAAGTAGATATGTTATTTGAGCATATGTGAAAATTTCAAATATAAAGAGCTATTGATTTTCTTGTAATCTTGAGATTCAATTCTGTGATTTTTGTATTTCTTTTAAATGGCAAGACAGTTAAATTTCAAGAGTAAAGAATGAACAGATTAAATTGTCAAAAAGTAGCAAATATTATAAACTATAAAATAATTCTGACAAATTCTATGTTCAAAGAAATATTTATGATGCAATTTATCAGCATTAAGAGAATAATTTAGTAGCAACCTTTGCTGAGACTGAAAATCATCAATGGAATTTGATGACTTAAGAATTTTACTTTTATATTTTAATTAAGATGCATTCAGTATAACATAAATGAGTGAAGAAAGGCCTCATCATTTATAGATTAATAAACAGCTACCTCTTACTCTTTTCACCTTAACAGACCTCTTTTATTGAATCTACCATTTTGAATGTGTGTACATATGGTTTTAAATGAGGGACAGAAAAGTTAGGAATAACTTTATGCTATCATTCATTTCAAATCTAAGTTTAATACAGATAAAAATATGAAAAAAATCTGTTATAAATTGGTTCTCTTACATCCACTTTTGCTTTTTGTGCATTTAGTTACCTGTAATCAACTACAGAAATAAACAATTTATAAGTTATATTTACTAATGACCCCAAAACAAAGGATGAGCAATACTGACAATTGAAATATGACAAACAGAAATTGTAAAATGCTTACTTTATGTGAAAAGGTGAAAGTTTTCAACTTAATAAGGAAAAAAAAAAATCTTATGCCGAGATTGCTAAGATTTACAGTAAAAATAAATTTTCTGTCATAACTTTCATATAGTATATAATTGTTCTATTTTATTACTAGTTACTGTTGTTAAACTCTTATTGTTCCTAATGTATAAATTAAATTTCACCATGGCATGTATGTATCATTAAATCTGAGACTGATAAGCCAAAACATGTTGAAAAAATGATATCTAATATCTAATAACAAATGCATGTCAGGGTCAGAGGTATGTAAGCAGTAAACTGGCTTCAAGTACTTAATTTTGATGTGTTAATGTAGCAGTTACAGACAAGAAAGATTTGAATGATTTTGTAAAGACTAAATTTCTATGGCCAGAAAGGTACTTCAGAGCATTTCTAAAATCGTGCAACTTCTAGGGTATTACAACTGTGATTAATACCTATCAGCTGCAGTCAAAAGAGAGAAAAATCACCAACTGCCAATCAGGCATGGAATGACCAAGACTTAGTGATAAAAAGTGAATGGAAAATTTTTCCAACAAGCACAAGTCAACAGAAGGGCTATTATCATACGAATTGCAGATAGCTTTTATTATGATGATTAAATTATATCTGAGAATTCACCATTCATTGAAATATTATTGAAGGTATTTAAGAGGTAATCTATAGTGACAAGTTGTCCATGATATGGAAAACAAGAAAATAAAACACATGAAAACAAAGTAAAAATGGAAAGCTGGATTTTTGCTACTAAAAAAATAAAATATCCCGACAGTAAAACATAAAATTCCTGAGCTGGAACTCAATAGAATCATTATTTTGCATAAATTTGCAATACACAACAAAGTCAGTCACTTATGCACAAGTGCTATGACCTATATTGCTGCAACATGTCATTCTATAAATGACATGGGGTATTTTCTAGTATTGTGCAAGCACCATAATCTAATTCATGATATCAACCTGGTCAAACCAGTCATTGCTAATCACTAGAGGACAAATACCCACATGCAATATTAGCATATTAATAGCATGGCACGTGCTGTCAAGAGTAGTAAAAAATAAAAGTTGTTGTTTGTTTAGTAATTAAATTAGATTTTTAAATGCCAGTTTTATTATATTTCATGATGAGTAAACGAAAAGCTAACAAACTTGGTGGGTGCACATTTTTGGCAAAATACAGAGCTGAAGAGCCAGCTTTCTGTGATGATTTTTATTATAAATTTTTTTTGTCAACACACTGTAGATTGAATTCAAAGGGACATACTTGTGGATTATGAGAAATCACTGAAGCACAAAAAAAAAAATAAAGATGCCTATATAAGTTAGTTATATATTTGTATATTTTAATGTTTACACACAAGTCTGTTTTTCATGTGTTTTATGATTTTGAAACAAAAATAGAAAATTGGAATTTGCCATCACAGAATAACACAAAATTTGAGGTTTTACAACACAGAACTTGCCACTCTAAGTTAATCTAATGATTTCTTTGGTAAGTGTTTTATAAATTCATAGTAAATTTCATCCAAACTAACAACTGTATTAAGAGATATTTTGATTTAATATTTAAGCTCTACTGATTTTCAAAATTTAAGCTCTACTAGTTTTCAGAATTGTCCGTTTCCTGACATGATGAATTGCTGATTGACATTCTTACTAGATTTTTTTTTTGTTTTATTGAAGGTCTTGGCAAATAAGTCTACAATATCATTTTTTACCAGTTACTTTGTTTTTATTATTATAATGGAGGAATCCTGTTGGTTTCCATAATTTTAACATTCCTTCTTGGCTTTTTGATTGTTTCATATGCTTTTTTGCATTTAAAGGAGATTAAATCAAAGATTGTAGGATGATTGCTATTCGTAATCTGATGGCTTCTCTGCAGTTGTCATGTGTTTGAACTTTTGTATATGCATTCCTTTGCTATGGAGATTAGTGCTTCTGTGAAGCAATTTGATGGGTTTTTAATACGGCTATTTTGAATTCATTTTATGTTCCAGTGTGACCTAAACACTTTCAAATTTGTTTCATTTCCAATGAGAAAGATTTTCATTATTTGGGTCAAAGTTTTCTAGTATAACTAGTGCCTAAGAGTAATCAACATAAATTGTAGGAGATCACAAAGTTAAATCTATAACTGAAGAAGCATAGATTGCGACTATTAATAGTATTTTCTGAAATTTAGCATTTTTGGTTTGTGTTCCTATAGTCTCATTCCTATATTTTTATTCTATTAAAGTCCCTTGCTACGATGAAGCATTTAGGAAGCTGTTCCAGTATTTTGAGCTCATTTTCATTCATGGAATTGCATGGCAGAATATATATATGGAGCAAATATTAATGAGTGCTTGTAGGTTAGTTCAAGATTAACTTTGCTTCAAGGTATATTGTTTCGAAAGAGGAATGATAAAACTTCTAGAGGCTCATTAACATGCATATAATCATATTGTTCATAATTTTTATATTGCTGTTGCTGTCTTAAGAAAATATCTTGAAAGCAAGCAACTACAGGACACAAGTCTGAATAACAACAGTAGTTAATTAAAATTGGGTTTCAATTCACAATAATTCCACTGGTCAATTTTATGATCCACAGTGGAGTATAACTCTTGGCAAAAATTATAGAATTAGCACACTTAGATGACGTTCATCTTTGTTTTTTTTTTTAATTTATTTATTTAGCAGCATATAAACTAATTACAGATAAAATGCAAAATACTTTTTTTATTCAATAGCTGAATATTTTGACTTCATAAAATATACATTAGATAAATTATATTAAATTATTTCAATTAATGGCATAATTTCTTCCAAGCCATGCAGAGAAAAATATCAAATATCAAATACTGAGGAGAAAATTATAGAATTCATAAAAAAAAAAAATCAGAATTAATACTTGCACCTCCTCAAGTTTATATGACAGCTTTAATTCTTTCAAGCATGGATTTCACTAATTTAAGGTATTAATCTTCCTGAATGGTAGTTAATAGATCTTTGGTTAATGGAAAGTCAACGTGGACTACTTTTTTTTTTTTTTTTAAAAAGAAAAAAAATTCCACCATAAATTTTCAACTGGATGTAAGAGCCAAATGGTTCACTTGAAACTGATATGCCTTTCCTGAAGAAAAGATTTAATCCCCCTTTACTCTGTAACAAGATGTATTATTGTCCTGAAAAATCATTTCATCATTACCAACCAATTTTCTATTCTTGGAATAAGAAAATTATTCAGGATTTCAATGAACACAAGACTGCTTGATAATTCAGAACATAACTTGGAGTGCTCTATTTTGATCTCCAGTTT